ATTCCTGCCACCCGGGGTGCCTGGACATCTGCGCCGGGGGCCCCCATGGCTGGGTGGATTGGGAATGGCTGGCTGGGGCCAACGTGGTGACCTGGTGGGTTCCAACCTCCTGAGGTTTTCAGTAAGCAAAGGATTCTGCCAACCCGGGGCCCTGGGCCATCCACACACACAGGGAACGATCTCGCCGACCTAGGCAGCTAGAGGGCTTCAGCTGGTACGAGAAAACAAAACGTATTTTTAAGAATTGCCATTTTGGAGTTTGTCCTCTAATACTGAGCTGTCCTAGCAGACAAGCAGAGACATGCACGGGAGGCATAAGAGGAAAATGAACAACACAAGATCCCACCTCCACCCCGCCTGGCTGTTCCTTTGTATTGGGGCCTGGTCTGGGGATCTCTGCTGAGGCAAGGCAGCGTGCAGGTGCGGGCCTGGAGGGGTGTAGTTCTAGCCAGCCTGGGCTCTGCTATGTCACCCTGGGCAGGGTGTCTTCCCCCCTCCTTTGGGAGGTGGTGACAAAGGGGTCCTTGGGCAGCTGGAGGAGAGAACAGGAGGGCCAGTGGGTCGGGGCCAGGTGCTCCTGGGTCTCTGATGAATGACGGGATAAATGGCTTTCGCTGACTTCGAAAGGCCTGCATGGAGCAATCACTCAATATTTGGGGGAAGATAGTACAGGTGTTCTACTTAGAGAGGGGCGGTTGTGGGGGCAGGGGGAGGAGATGGCTTTTAACCCTTTTAGAGCCAGAGGCTCAGCTGAATCTGCTAAGATGGTGGGTACTTCCACCCCAGGGGTCAGATGAGGAGACTTCACCCCTAGCAGTGAAGAGGGGTGGACTCAGACTGGACCTCCCCGCAGCTCCCACCTCCCCCCAACCTTTCCCATCTGGAGAAGCGGGAGGGAGAGAAGCACGCGGGAAGGCGGGGGTCGTCTGCGGATCCGGATCCCGGGAAGGAGCGCAGAGGCCCGACTTTCCGACTTCCCGGCTCCCGCTCAGGCCGTTCCCTCCACCTGGAAGACCCTTCCCCGCATCGGCGCGTCTGAAGCCGCAGCATCTCCGGCCCCGGCAGCCGGCCCTCCAGCCGGCCGCTCCTCACCGCTCCCTCCCGGGCCTGGGGCGAGCGCGGCGGCGAAGCCAAGCCTCCGGGGACGAGTCCGCGCCCCCAGACAGCGCGGCGCTACTCGCCCAGTGTCGCCGCGCAGGGCGGGCGGGCGGAGCCCGCAGTGGGACCCGGGCTCCTCGGCCCCACTGCCCTCTCCCACCGCGGCCTCCGGGGCGGGCGGGGC